TTCCAAGTAGCTGGAACTACAGGTGCACGCTACCACGCCTGGCTAATTTTTGATTTATTGCAGAGATGAGGTCTCGCCAAGTCACCAGGGCTAGTTTCGAACCCACGGACTCAGGCAATCCACTTGCCTCAGCCTCCCAAAGTGCTGGGATTACAGGTTGAGCCACCGAGCCCGGCCTATTTAGTTTTCTTAACAGATTATTTCAGAAATACATCATTTGTTGCTGGGAATGAATAAATATATGTTTAAATTTCTTTGATATGTACAGATTGTTTGTGGTTCTTAATATTTTTGTTTGTTTTTGTTTTCAAAGGTTCGGTCTTTGTGGGCTTCAGTGAATGAAACACTCAAGTTTTTGGAAAAAGAAAGAGAAGTTGTTAGTTCTGTCCTTAGTCTTGCTAACCAATATACTTTAGATGGAACTAATGTTGTTATTAATATTCCAAGTCTGTTGTGTGACAAAATTCAGAAACAAATGAGTCAGGTAAGCATTTAATATTAAGACGGCTTTTGAGAAAACTCGTTTCATGTAATTATTTTATATATTATGTGTTGTTTTTCTCGCAGTGTTTTTTGGCTGCTTTCAGAATTTATTTTTGTGGGCATGTCTAGTAAAGTTTTGATAAAGAAGGGTACTGTTAAAGTTGTATATATTTATATCTGTCAACTTTTACTAGTTGTATACATCATATAATATACACTGTATGAGGTTTCTTACTAGAAAGGTAATACTATGCTAGGTCTTTATAAATTCTCAGAGAGAACAACAGTGATCTCCTCACTGTGCAATGTCCTTTTACAAAGTCTACACACACACCCCACACCGGTTTCTGTTTTATCTTGATACTGTTAAATGTTCCTTTAACTTTGTGACCTCAATGTTTCTGCTTTCCTGTAGTCTTTGAAACTGCTGCTCTGTTTCTCCACTGGTTTCTTTTTCTCTAACTTAAAATGGAAGTGTTCTCCATGGTTCTTTTAATGTCCCACTCTTCTTTCCTTTGTTACAGATTTATTTGTATTTTTTCTTTTTTCTTTTTTTTTTTTTTGAGTTGGAGTCTCACTCTGTCACTCAGACTGGAGTGCAGTGGCCGCTCCTGGCTACCACAGCCTCGACCTACTGGGCTCCAGCGATCCATCTGCCTCAGCCTTCCAAGTAGCTGGAACTATAGGCACGCGCTACTATGCCCAGCTAATTTTTGCTTTATTGTAGAGATGAGGTCTTGCCAAGTTGCCCAGGTGGGTCTCGAACTCGCGGGCTCAGGCAATCCACTCACCTCAACCTCCAGAAGCACTGGGATTGCAGTCTGAGCCACTGAGCCTGACTGTATTTTTTATTTTCTTACCACAATTCGTTAAGCATCTACTATATAATAGGAATTGAGTATAATATAGGGGATACAACCATAAGGTATTGTGTCTCTGAGAAGCTTTCACTTTAATAGGTAATATGATAGGCCCATGAAATTCAGTATATAAAAATCATCTTTTTAGCAGCTTCTCTGGTTCCTAAATATAAAAGAAAAATTTACTAAGTGAACTATCACAGAAACAAAGGATCTGAATGCTGCATATTGTCACTCATAAGTGGGCCTTGAACATTAGTCACATAAGCCCCAGGGAGGGATCGGCAGTTCCTGACTGGACACTGCTAGGAGAGCGAAAGAGGGAGGAGTGTGGGAGGTACCTGACAGCACAAAGGGTACTTGGTTCATTACCAGGGGAGTAAGGGCCAGTTAGAAGCCCAGACTTCACCTGCATGCAGCCTATTTGTGTAGTTAATCCTCACTTGTAACCCATGTTCCTATAATAAAATTTAAAAAGAAAAAAGAAAAATCAAGGTCTGCTATTATTCATTCCTACAGGGTCTAGGCAGGTAATAAACGAAGCTCAGTAATTGTATGTAGCAGTAGGGAGAAAGTAGAAAGTGATGAGGTCTTTGGAGAAAAGTACTATAACAATTTTTAGGTGAAATCTATGATTTAAAAAATATTGGCAACTAATTTAAGTGATTTTGAAATATTGGAACTGTGCAGGCCAAATAAATACCTCTAAGTATAGATTCAGCCTTTGGGGGTCATTCACTGATTTACAACTTCTGTTAGTTGAATATATGATCTTTTTTTCAAACCTGCTCTTTCTGTTCCATCTTTATTTTTCTTTTCATCTATTTGCATTTCTTTTATTCTAGGTTTCATCCTTTTGCGTAACGTAAACATGTAACAAGGCATGTTAATTATTCCACAGTAGTTTTCACTGGGCCAAAATTATTTATGTAGTTTTAAGTTTGGTGGTGTTTGATTTTAGTTTTTTCCTCAGTCTTCTTTAAGGTAAACTTTTATATAGGAAAAAAAAGAATATACTTATATAACAGTTTATTGTCATAAGAACCTATAGTTCACCACTTTTTTTCCCCTCTGAATCCTTAGTTGCACATAGGAAATATTTATGAAGCTGGAAAATTGAACCTTTTAACAGTTATTCAGGTATTAAATGAAGTCTTGAAAATATTGAAATATGAACGTTGTCAGACTGACCAAGCAAGATTGACAGTAGACCTTCACTACCTTGAAAAAGAGACCAAATTTCAGAGGGAAAGATTATCGGATCTGAAGCATATGAGGTACGTTAGAAAGGTCTATCATTTTATTATGGAAGGAGTAGGGTAGTTTTCTCAGCAAAACTCTTGTTATAATTAACTCTTCAGCTGTGTAAACAAATATGAGTGTTTTACTAGTATTCAAAACCTTATGTAATCAACTCCTGGAGAGACATGATTAGGAAGGAAAAGTAATGGAATAAATGATTTGTCCTAAGTGACAATTCTTTGTGGAATAATTCTGACTTTTCTCTAGTTTTCTTTTGTAGGGTCTAATGATAAAACTGGTCTTCAGAAAAATGTTTTACTTGAGCAGAAATATTGTGAGGTATGGGTTACTTCTAGGAGTGGACAGAGTTACTCAAGGTTACAGCTAGGAAAAAAATTGTGTATTAAAAATAAATGGAGTAATAGCTGGTGTGGTGGCATACAGCTGTAGTCCCAGGTACTTGGGAGGCTGAGGCGAGAGGATCACCTGAGCCCAGGAGGTCAAGGCTATGGGGAGCTGTGATTTGCCACTGCATTCTAGCCTGGGCAACAGATTGCAACCCTGACTAAAAAAGAAAATAAATAAAGATGAAGGCTACTGAACATTGGGCCAGGCTAAAATGGTGGCTCACATCTATAATTCCAGTACTTTGGGAGGCCGAGTTGGGAGGATTACATGAGTCTAGGAGTTTGAGACCAGCTTAAGCAACATAGTGAGACTTAGTCTCTATAAAAAATAAAAAAAGGAGCCAGGTGTGGTAACACTCCCCTGTAGTCTCAGCTGTTTGGAAAGTTGAGGCAGAGGGGTCATCTGAGCCTAGGAGATTGAGACTGCAGTGAGCTGTGATTATGCCACTATACTGTAGCATGGGAGACCCTGGCTCAAATAAGTGAATGAATGAATGAGATAATAGATTTATGATTGCTTTCTGGTCTTAAAAGAAGAAATGTAGGCTGGGCATCGTGGCTAATCCCAGTAATCCCAGCACTTTGGGAGGCAGAGGTGATAGGATTGCCTGAACCCAGTGGTTCAAGACCAGCCTGGGCAACTTGATGAGACCTCATCTCTACAATAAGTAAACAGTTAGATAGGGTTGGTGGTATTTCAGGTTCTGAATATTCACTTGTGAGAGTTTATTTAATTTGTATATGTTGCATTTGTTGAATTTTCAGTTGTATTTACCCTTCCATACAACTATTGTTAATTTTCTTAAATTGTACTCAATGCTTTTTTGTAACTCAGGGTTTTTTTTGTTTGTTTATTTGTTTTTTGAGTCTGTTGCCCAGGCTGGAGTGCAGAGTGCACAATCACTGCTCACTGCATTCTTTACCCGCTGGGCTCAGGTGATCCTTCCACCTCAGCCTTCTGATTAGCTGGAACCACAAGTGTGTGCCACCTTGCCTGGCTAATATTTTGATGTATTGTAGAGATAAGGTCGTCAAGTTGCCCGGAATGGTCTAGAGTTCCTGGACTCCAGCAGTTCTCCTCTCACCTCTGCCTCCCAAAGTGCTGGGATTAACAGACGTGCCATTCTGTCTGGCCTATACTCAAGTTTTGAATAAAGTTTTTTTTTTTTTTAAATGCTGTCATAGGCATAGAATAAAAGAAGATCTTACGACTATAAGACATTCTATTGTTGAAAAGCAAGAAGATTGGCATAAAAAGTGGAAAGAATTTCTTGGTTTGTCTCCTTTCCGTCTAGTTGAAGGTTGGACTCCAGTAAGTAATGTTGACTTGGCTTTGGGAGAGTAGTTTAATATATGGCAATCTCTTGATTTATCCTGTTACAAATGATCTTGTATATATATATATATATTTGCCATCTTTGCCTCTGAGCCTAAAGTACAAATGTTTTGGTTTCTGTAATTTTTCTGAATATATAATAGAATGCTCATTAAACTGCTGTTGTCATTTACAGTTAAAATATTTTTAGATTGTATCAAAAAGAAAACAAGATTGGAGACAGTGGCTCATGCCTGTAATCTCAGTGGTTTGGGAGTCTGAGGTTGGAGAACTGCTTTAGTTTAGGAGTTTGAGACTAGCCTGGGCATCATAGATGTAACCTCTACAAAAAACAAACAAAAGTAGCTGGGTATAGTGATGTGTATCTGTAGTCCCAGCTACTCAAAGATCTGAAGTGGGAAGATCTCATGAGCCCAGGAGTTCAAGGCTACAGTGAACTATGATTGTGCCAGAGTACTCCAGCCTGGGTGACAGAGTGAAAACCTGTCTCCTAAGAAAATTAAAATAGTTTTAGGATATATGTTTGGTAATCATGTCTTTATTAAGGGGAAAACACCATCTATTCATAGATTAACTTAGCATTGTTAGTGTGGTAATTAGAGGATGTGTTTGCTTCAAAATTGTGAATTCTGTTTTAAGGCTGTGGACCTACTACCACCTATGTCTCCTCTTTCGTTTGATCCTGCCTCAGAAGAAACTTATGCAAAGAGTATTCTTTTTCAGTATCCTGCTTCTCTTCCAGGTTAGTTATTTATTATTTTCTCCTTTAAACCTTGCTCCTGTCATTTTCCTCAGTATTATAGTAATTGTTTATATTACTTGTCTTTTTCCTTCAATTATTTTTTATCCTAGTGAAATGCACATAACGTAGAATTCACCATTTCAGTCATTACAAAGTGTACAACTCATTGGTACTTAGTGCATTCACAGTATTGTGCAATCATCACCACCGTCTAGTTTTAGAACATATTTCATTATCTCCAAAGGAAACTTCACTAACTGGGTGCTGTGGCTTACACCTGTAATTCCCACACTTTGGGAGGTGGAGGCGAGAGGACTGCCTGAGTCTAAGGTTGGAGACCAGCCTGAGTCACTTGGCGAGGCCTTGTCTTTACAATAAATCAAAAAATTAGCTGGGTGTGGTGACGCATGCCTGTAATTCCAGCTACTTGGAAGGCTGAGGCAGAAGGATCATCTGAGCCCAAGCAAGTCGAGGCTGTCGTGGCCGTGAGCCAGGCTGAGTGACAGAGTGAGACTCTTGGCTCAAAAATAAAAATCAAAAAACTAACTTTATGCTGGATGCAGTGGCTCCCGCCTGTAATCCCAGCACTTTGGGAGGCAGAGGCAAGAGAATTGTCTGAGCCCACAGGTTTGAGACCAGCCTGGGCAGCATGACGAGATCTCATCTCTGCAATAAAAAAAATTTTTTTAAATTAGCTGGGTGTGGTGGTGTGCGCCTGTAGTTTTAACTACTTGGAAGGCTAAGGCAGAAGAATCACCTGAGTCCAGCAGGTTGAAGCTGCAGTGGCCATGAGCTTGCCACTGCAGTCCAGCCTGGGTGACAGAGTGAGACTGTGACTCAAAACCCCCCAAAAAAACCCAAACAGCTTTAATTAGATGTAATTCATGTACCATGTAATTTACCCATTTAATGTGTACATTTCAGTGGTTTTTACTAAGTTTACACATGTGCAGCCATCACCAGTCAACTTTAAACATTTTTATAACCTTAAAAAGAAACGACATGCCTGTACACCCTTTTCATTCCTCTGGCCCTAAGCAACTATGAACATCTTTTCTGTCTCTAGATTTTCCTATTCTGGGTTATTTCTTATACATGGAATCGTGCGATAAGTAGTCTTTTGTAACTAGCTTCTTTCACTAAGCATGGCTTTCAAAGTTCATCCAAGTAGTAGCATGTATCAGTAGTGTATTCCTTTTTATGAATATATTTCATTGTATGCCTGTACCACGTTTTTGTTTATATTTTGTTGATAGGCATTTGGGTTGTTTCTACCTTTTGGCTATTATGGGTAACACTGCTATAAATATTCATGTACAAGTTTTTGTGTGGAAGCTAACAATTTTTTAACATGAAAGAATAGTACAGTAATTATCTCACTATCTCCCACCTGTTTCAACAATTAACATTTGCCATATTTGCTTTATATATGTGTGTATTTTTTTTTTTTTGAGTTGGAGTCTTGCTCCGTTGCCCAGACTGGAGTGCAGTGGCCGCTCCCGGCCACCGCAGCCTCGACCTGCGGGGCTCCAGCAATCCTTTCGCCTCAGACTTCCAAGTAGCTGGAACTACAGGTGCGCGCTACCACACCAGGCTAATTTTTTGATTTATTGTAGAGATAAAATCTCACCAGGTTGCCCAAGCGGGTCTCGAACCCCTGGGCTCAGGCAATCTACTCACCTCAGCCTCTCAAGGCATGGGATTACAGGCTGAGCCACTGAACCCGGCTCTATATGTGTGTATTTTGACTAAACCAAATAAACTGTAGACGTTGTTGCACTTTAAGTATTTACCTTCCCATAAGTATATTTTTCTATGTAACTACTATCTATTATCACACTTGAACATTAATATTTCTACAGTATTTAATTGCATAGTAATATGTCCAAAATTTTAACATTGGATTTCATAAATAAGAGATAGATAATTGGATAAAAGAATGAATAAAAAAATGAACAAATTATGTAGCCAAACTGGAATAGGTAATAGGTGTAAACCATAGCTCGGGCAGGCCAAAGGTCATGACAGCCGTTAGCGCAGGACTTAATCGCGGGATAAGGGATTGGGTTGAGAGTCAGGCTTATTTGGGGAGGACATTTGTTGGGAAAGAGCATAGACGAGAGAGCAAGACTCAGGATAGGCGTGACCGGAAGAGCGGACCTAGAAAAGACTGCATGGTTTGGTGAATGAGAGAGCTTTAGATGTAAGGTTCTGTTTCTGTGGTAGCTTTGGACAGAGCTTAATTATGACGATAGAATTATTTTGATAACTCTTGGCATCGTGTTGGCATTGTGTTTTCATTTCTCCTGGAAAGGGGCTTTTGCACTGTTGCTAGGCTTAGTTTCAGCATTCTCTTTATGTCCCTCGGGAGATTTCTATACCTGCTTTGAGACTCAGGGTGAATATGTCTGTTTAGGAAGTCCAATAGAAAGTTGTACTCTTGGGATTTCTTTTTTCCCTAGGATAGGACCTTGATCTAAGCTGGGGACCTCAACATTATTTTACACCTTTTGTGGTAAAACAGCCTTTTTTCCCTTTCTGCACCTTACATACTGCATCTTACTTAAAGTAATTTACTTTAAAAATGTTTGTTTATTTTTAGTTATTTGTTTATTTTTGAGTCAGAGTTTCAGTCTGTCTCCCAGGCTGGCGTGCAGTGGCACGCTCACTGCCACCACAGCCTTGATCTGCTGGGCTCAGGCGATCCTTCCTTGTTAGCCTTCCAAGTAGTTGGAACTACAGGCATGTGCAACCTTGTCTGACTAATTTTTTTTTGATATATTGTAGAGACGAGGACTGGTCATATTGCCCAGGCTGGTCTTGAACCCTTGGACTCAGGCAGTCCTCTCATTTCTGCCTCCCAAAGTGTTGGGATTATAGGCGTGAGTCACTATGCCCAGAGCTTGTTCTAGAATTTTTTTTTTTGAGTTGGAGTCTCACTCTGTCGCCCAGACTGGAGTGCAGTGGCCGCTTCCGGCCACTGCAGCCTTGACCTGCTGGGCTCCGGTGATCCTTCCGCCTCAGCCTTCCAAGTAGCTGGAATTACAGGCATGCGCTACCACGCCCGGCTGATTTTTTGATTTATTGTAGAGATGAGGTCTCGCTGCCCAGCCGGGTCTCGAACCCACGGGCTCAGGCAATCCACTCACCTCAGCCTCCCAAAGGCGCGGGATTACAGGCTGAGCCCGGCCGTTCTAGAATTTTAAAAAGATCCTTGAATATTATAATATATAAACATTATCAAAGAGTCATGAATTTTTTATTTCTTAGATACACCTGAGCTACATAACCAAGAAAATGACTGCAGAGGAGACAGTGATAATTTGGGAGCTGTCCATGATCTAGCCAACAGGTAAAGCAAATTTGATTTTCATATTGATTTGTTTTCTATATTTATTTTAGTCCCATCTTAAGCCAATTTCCAAACTTTTTTTTTTTTTTTTTTGAGTTGGAGTCTCACATTGTCGCCCAGACTGGAATGCAGTGGGCTCTGGCAATCCTTCCGCCTCAGGCTTCCAAGTAGCTGGAACTATAGGCGCGCGCTACCACGCCCGGCTGATTTTTGATTTATTGTAGAGATGAAGTCTCGTCAAGTTGCCCAGGCGGGTCTCGAACCCGCGGGCTCAGGCAATCCACTCACCTCAGTCTCCCAAGGTGCGGGATTACAGGCTGAGCCACCAAGCCCGGCTCCAAACTTCTTTACTGTGGAATAGTGCATCATTTTCTCCTCTTAACCAGAGAAGATTTTTCTACTGCAGACGTACATTTTCAGAAAAGCATCAACATTTATGATTCTTTGTCTTTTTTTCCTTTTTCTTTATCTCAATATTGGGTTTCTTGGGGATTAAGTACATCTTGAAGAAACAAAACATGGAAACTATCTAATGCAACTTTTTGGAAACCACTCTATTGACTAAGTCCAAGAACTTGGAGGCCTTTGAGATCATCTAGTCTGATAGTTTTCACACTACAGTTTGCCGTGCCATTGGGTGCTGTGGAGGAATCTAATGTAGCCTGTGACTGGTCCAGCCCTTTCTTGCTTCAGCCCGAACAGCTTATTCTTTTATCTATATTATATTTTGGGGTTTTGATAAGCGACTTGATAATTCCATGCTTTTAAAAAATCCACTCACTTGTAATCCCAGCACTTTGGGAGGCCAAGGCAAGTGGATTGCCTGAGCCCGCAGGTTCAAGACCAGCTCGGGCAGCTTGGTGAAACCTTGTCTATACAATAAATTGAAAATTAACCAGGCATGGTAGTGTGCGCCTGTAGTTTTGGGTACTTGGAAGACTGAGGCGGAAGGCTTGCCAGAGCCCAGCAGGTCAATGCTACGATGGCCATGATCATGCCACTGTACTCCAGCCTGGGCGACAAAGTGAGATTCCAACTCAAAACCAAACAAAACCAAAAAATAATAATAATAAAAAAAATCTAAAGACTTCTGACTTACTGTAACCCCAACATTTAACATATGAAAAAACTGAGTTTGTTGTAATTTCCTTTGGGAATATTACTGTTTTCTTTATTGTCTGTTTTCTCATACATATATGAATTTTATATATATATATATATGTATATATATATTTAACGCAGAGTCTTACTGTCACCCAGGCTGGTATGCAGTGGCATGCTCATAGCCATTGACCTGCTTTGCTTAGGTGATTCTTCCACCTCAGCCTTCCAAGTAGCTGGAACCACAGGCTCACACCACACCCAGCTAGTTTTTGATTTATTGTAGAGATGAGGTCTTGCCAGGCTGCCCATGCTGGTCTTGAACCCCTGTACTCAGGCAGTCCTCTTGCCTCTGCCTCCCAAAGTGCTGGGATTAGGATTACAGGTGTGAACCACTATGCCTGGCTTATTATCTTATTTTTGACTGATGCCAGGTTATATAAGCAAAACAAATCTCTACGTTAATATATGTAATCTACTTCAGGAATATATTAACTCTTTACTGAAATTAAGCAATATTAGGTAGCAATCAAACACAGATATACTTTTTCTTTATGATTTTTTTATTACCCTTTGAGCTAAGTTGGTGTCTATCACTTCAACTTCCTCAAGAACAAGAGATGAGGGACAGATGTCAATAAAATATTTAGGAAAATTATAAAAGAAAATTCTAAATTTTAAATGAATTGACACACTGTTCATTCTTTTCTCTATATTGTTATAAAGTTAATAAATTGTAACAGTGTAATCAGAATCAAAACTTTTATATGAAATTGAGATATTGGCTATTGCCCCTGCTAATTTTTATAACATGTCAGAACTAGTTGTGAAAGAATGATATTTTTATTCTTATATCTGGATGATGTTGATTTTTTTTGCATACCTAAAGAAAAAAATGAAATCTTCTGTGTGTGGAGCCCTAGTATTAAAGAGATGGTAAAGTTACTGACCTACCCATTTTGCCTCCATATTTCAATTGTTCTTATAGCAGGCTAGATAGGTATAGTGGTAGGAGCTTCCCAGTCTCACTTATTGTCTTGGTTTGTCTTGCCTTGAGAGAGCAACTTAAATATTTTGATTAAGGTCTTTTGCTGGACAAGAGACTGATAGGAACACTAGATGAATACATAGATCAGATTTTACTTATGAACCCACTGAACCTCAATTTAAAAAAAAAAGTTTATTGAGTTAGAGTCTTACTGTTTTGCCCAGGCTGGAGTACAGTGGTATGATCATGACTCAGCCACAGCCTCGACCTCCTGGACTCTGGTGATGCTTCCGCCTCAGCCTCCTGAGTAGCTGGGATTACAGGTGCATGCCACCATGCCTGGCTAATTTTGCCGATTTTTTGTAGAGATGAGGTCTTGCTATGTTGCCCAGGCTGGTCTCAAACTCCTGGGCTCAAGCAGTCCTCCTGCCTCAGCCTCCCAAAGTGATGGGATTATAGGCATGAGTCACTATGCCCAGCCCGTCAGTCTTTTTGGAATGTATCTTCTTTTTAAACCAAGATATACTATCAGAATTCTATAGGAGCTAGACACTCAGCCCCTAAAAATTTAGTTAAAAAGAAATCTCTTAATACAGGCAAAAGAAGTTATATTAAATATACTTTGATTTTCATAGCTATCCTCTTCTAAGCCTCTGAATCTTTTAATTTTCTGATACTTTCATTTTTTATTTTTTTTTGAGTCAGAGTCTCATTCTGTTGTTCAAACAGGAGTGCAGTGGCACAATCATGGCCACCGCAGCCTTGACCTGCTGCGCTCAAGTCATCTTCTACCTCAGACTCCAAATAGGTGGAGGCTTTTTCTTGTTTTGTTTTTTTTTTTGAGTTGGAGTCTCACTCTGTTGCCCATACTGGAGTTCAGTGGCTGCTTCCGGCCACTGCAGCCTCGACCTGCTGGGCTCTAGCGATTCTTCCGCGTCAGACTTCCAAGTAGCTGCAACTACAGGCGTGTGCTACCACGTCCGGCTGATTTTTTGATTTATTGTAGAGATGAGGTCTCGCTGCCCAGGCGGGCCTCGAACCCGCGGGCTCAGGCAATCCACTCACCTCAGCCTCCCAAAGGCGCGGGATTACAGGCTGAGCCACCAAGCGCGGCCCAAAATATAGTCTTATTCATAAATCCCATTGCTAGTTTTGATCAGAGAACTAATGGAGGTGGCACCATTCTTAAATCCAGAATTCAGTGAGTGGTGATCCCTTTGCTGTACACTGCGACACTTTCTTTGTATTGGTTTTTGGAAGGGTTCCATGATATTTTTAGAGGTAATGATGCCATATAGACCATTAATCTCTATATGAAGGGTACCAAAAAAATCCCCGGAATTATCTTTTAGAGGACAAGCACCTTGTAGTACAGGCTTCACTGCCAGATAAGTGTTCTAGGCACCCATTGGCATCAGTTTAACAGCTGGTATTGCTGTGAGAGGTTGCATTCAACTTCGGTGAGTTTTTTTTTTGTTGAGATTCTTTCAACTATTTGCCCATTTCATGATGGGTGATTTACAAGAGCACCTGCCCACACTGAGCTGAGTGAGTGTTCAGTTTTTGTCGAAAAATGGCATGACCTCTGTGCCCCATCCTCCCTATTCACCCGATCTCACCCTGAGTGGCTTTTTTTGTTTCTTAGATGAAAAAAAGTCCTCAAAGGGAATTGTTTTGCTGATATGGAAGAGGTGAAACAAAAAATGATAGAACTACTAAAAGGCATCAAAGTTGGTGACTTGAAAAACTATTTTGAGCGGTGGAAAAAGCATTTCAATAGATGTATTGCATCAAACAGGACTTTGAAGATGACTGAAGTTTAAACATGTAAGAATAGATACACTTTTTTTTGTTATTGATGATCCCTGCTCTTCTCATTCTTTTTTTTTTTCTTTTATTGAGTCGAAGTCTTGCACTGTCACCCAGGCTGGAGTGTAGTGGTACGTTCACAGCCACCACAGCCTTGACTTGCTGGGCTCAGGTGATCCTTCTGCCTCAGCCTTCCAAGTAGCCAGAGCTACAGGCACATGCCACTGTGCCTGGCTAATTTTATGTATTTATTTATTTGTAGAGATGAGGCCTCGTCAAATTGTCCATGCTGGTCTTGAACCTGTGGGTTCAGGTGGTACTCTCACCTCGTCCTTCCAGAGTGCTGGGATTATAGATGTGAGCCACTGCACCTGGCCAGAACACAGTTTATTATAAAAATTCATCACTTGTCAGATTTTTTTCCCCCAAGTTCTTTTCCAGGCCTTGTATATATAATTATATGTAAATTTAGGTCTAATCAAAGCATGGATACAATCTTATGTTCTAAAATACAAACATTTAAAAACATTAACAGGCCAGGTGCCACCGCCTAGCTAATTAAAAAAAAAAAATTTTTGTAGACACTAATTCTTGCATGTTGTCCAGGCTGGTCTTGAACTCCTGGATGCAAGCAATTCTCTCGCATTGGCTTTCTTGGCCCACTTTTTTTTTTCTTTGATAAATGCTCTTCCCTTGGGATAAATTTCCACAGTGGAGTCAACACTCTTTCTTTTGTTCTGTTACAGTGCTAGGATTTCATGGCCCTCAGTCTTGGCATGACAAGTGGACACAGAGAGTAAGGACTGAGCCAGGGCTGTTTAAAGCTGTCTTGGATTGTGATTTTAGTAAGTCTAATAGCGTGTTGCCAATTCAGAAACGAGAGGGAAAAAGGTATAGAATGTTTCTATCATTCTGTCTTTTAAGGTTCCACAAGAATGGTTCAAATGGAAACACTGTTGTCACCTATAAAACTCTATCCTCAAGTGACATTTACTCATTGATTCCCTCAATCCAGCAAACAGTAAACACATATGTTGCGCTGCCAAGCACTGTGTTAGCCTCTGAGAATAGCCTTTGGAAAGACATAGCCTTTGTCCTCACTGTCTTGTTTGCTGTACCTTGTTGGCATTGTTCCATAGATTGCTGGCTCTGTTTCAGAAGGCTTTTTGATAATTTTAATGTAAAGTTTTTATAGAAATTCTAGTGGAGATGATTATTCCTTTGCTTCTGGTATCTGGACTATATTCTGTCAATGCTAAATTGAAATTTGAGCCATTGCAATGATTTTGAATTGTGTTTAGAAGGTAAGTAAAGGTTCCAAAAATGCATGTTTGAAAAGTTATATTTGCCATCATATATGATGTTTACAAAGCTATTAATTTTGTACTTGGAGCTAAAAAGAAAGCAAAGCACCAGTATGCTTGCTGTTTAAAGTAGTCTTGGCCAGGTGCGGTTGCTCACGCCTATAATCCCAGCACTTTGGGAGGCTGAGGTGAGAGGATTGTCTGAGCCAATGGGTTTGAGGACTGGGCAACTTGATGAGCCCTCATCGCTACAATAAAAAAAAAAAAATTAGCTGAGCATGGTAGCACATGCCTGTAGTTCCAGCTACTTGGAAGGCCGACGTGGAAGGATTGCCCAAGTCCAGCAGGTCGCGGCTGCGGTGGGCATGAGTGTGCCACTGCACTCCAGCCTGGGTGACAGAGTGAGACTCCA